AGGGTTGCTATGAGTCATAACCAACTCAATGGCTAGCAACCACTACCACCAAAGATAATAAATGTTTGAAAGTTTTGGATAATGTTCGTTTGGAGTCCTGGTGCTGTGCTGTGGGTTAATTAATGTGCTGGACTGCAAAGTCAGTTTTAACCATGAGGTCAGTGATTCAAGCTCACCAGCTACTCCATGTTAACCCTGTACAGGGTTGCTATGGTCTGAAACTGACTCAATAGCACTTAACAACAACAACAAAATATTCTTGGAATCCTGGAGTGGCACTGTGGGATAAAGCACTGAACTGTAAGGTTGGTTTGAACCACAAGGTAGACAGTTCAAACTCAACAGCTGTTCCTTGGAAACCCTGTACAGGGTCGTTCTGAGTCGGATTTGGCTTGACAGCCCTTAGCAACAGCAACAGACATGTTCTTGACCTTTATGTGGGTGATGTAGTTAAATTGCTTAGAAATAGCATGATATCTCAAGGTTTATTTTAAGGTTTATTAAGTAGGGATAAAAACCAACAACATCCATTACCACTGAGTCAATTCTTACTCATAGTGACCCTGCAAGACAGAGTAGAACTACCCCTTAAGACTTCCAAGTGTATAATCTTTACTGAAACAGATTGCCACATCTTTCTCCCATGGAGTAAGTAGTGGGTTCAGGCTGTCAGTCTTTGACTTAACCACTGTACCACCAGGACTCCTTAAGTGAAGCCAGAGAAGTATAATCTGAGGGCATGATTTTGTCCTGTTAATAAAGTATTAACCTTCGGAGTACTATACCTGGTTTCATGTTTATTATATGGCTTTGTCTGTTTTTGTTTTATTTTGTTTCTGACTAGTAGGAAGGTATACTATATTATATGTTGTTGTTAAATGCCATGAAATTGGTTCTGACCCATAGTGATCCTATATAGGATTTCTGAGGAGTGGCTGCTGGGTTTGAACCATCCACCTTATAGTTAGTAGTTAAGTGCTTATCCTACAGCATCACACCAGGACTCCATTGTGTAAGCCTTGGTCATTTTCCCCTCTGATCCTTTCAGGAGTAGTATGTGTATGTTTTTGCTTTGTTGTGTTTCTTCTCTAGCTTTGTGTAGTTTGCTTAGACATATGTGATCTTCAGTACCTTCCAAAGATTAAAAGGTAACTCTGTGCAGATCTGTGGAGCTTTTTCTTTGTATAACTCTTTCTTCTCCAGTGTCATACCAACTAATTCTAGCCATATTGAACTCCCCAGACTTCCAGCTCTGTGTCCTCACCCTAGGGTGGCCACCATGCTTTATCTGAGTTCTTCTTTCATGTGCTGAGTCCTAGCAACTGTGCATGCACTAAACTGTTTTCCTTCTTTCCATAGTTACTACCTGTGCTGCCTGTGGTCTAAAATCTGTACATTGTTTCATATATTATGTCTGTATTTTTTTAGGTGTGAGGTTGTGAGGGTAAACCCTATCTCTGTTACTTCATCTTCATCAGAAGCACAATTTCTCTGTAGAGATTGATGAAGTTGATAATTACAGAAAATAATATGGAAAAGGAGATTGTGACCTAGTTGTTGAAAAAATTCCGAGAAGTTTCTGGAAGATAAATAATTGGCTTTGATATTAATATGCTACTATTGCATTTTGATTGTCCACGATCTAGAATGTAGCCTTAGATGAATACCACGTGGTATAAGTTTCATCTAAAGCATTTGTAATGTAGGCAGATATCTTTATGATTATCTACATTCATTTTTTAATGGTGTAGAATAGAAAGAAGAACTTTTTGGCTAACCATTCAGTTTATTGGTAACCATTCTAATTTATCTCTTTTTTTTTTTTTTTTCTTTATCCATACCCTATTTCCCTTTCTTTTCCCATACATAGCTTTATGCCATCCCTTGGTTTCTCACCATGTTTACCCGTAAGTATCATTTTCTCTTTCCTTTCAATATTATATTAGCAATAAGACAATTCTATTCTGATCCAGTATACTATATTTATAATAATATTAAGCAGATTGATAAGCATCCTTATGTAATTCAAACACACAGATTTGAGTACAAAAGAATTCTAATTATGTTTACCTCAGTGGAGAAAAAAATAATAATAATTTCATAGAATGAAAACCAGTATGTCATGGCATTAGTATAATTGCTGCCTCTTATTAAAAAAGAAATTAATGTTTCCTATATTGGACTCCTGATGTTGTGTTGTAGGAACAGCACTGGACTGCGAACCACAAGGTTGGCAGTTCAAACCACCAGCTGCTCCTCAGAAATCCTATATAGGATCACTATAAGTCAGAGCTGACTTGGCAGGAGTCCTGGTTTGGCACTGGACTGCTAACCACAAGGTTGGCAGTTCAAACCTACTAGCTGCTACTTGGAAAGCCTATACAGGGCCACTATGAGTCAGAACTGACTTAACAGTACCTAACAACAATAACAATATTATTTACAAAAATTTTTAGAGGGTGACTGTTCCAGCCAAGTAGGTCTTAATGTTAAGAGATTCTCTTCATACCAAATTCTATTGTTTTTTCCTAAACTAGGATTCTTCAAGAAATTAAGCAGATTTTGTAAACATATAATATTCAGAAAATAGTACAAATATTAACATAGTTGCAATAAATATTCTGACTTAGATATGTATATATGATAAATGCAATACAGTATTTGATAGTAGATCTATAAGCTTTGGCCTGGAAAGATATCCACAATATATTTTTACATGAAAAAAAAAAACCAAATTGCAAAACATCAAAAAATTATAAATAGAAATTTTTTAGAATAAACAATTATTTAGAGTATATAATAAAAATGTAATAATAATATGTGTTAAGAAAAGTTAAAGTTCACCTAGGAATGTAAACTTGTGAGAATAATATAACCTGAAAAAATCTGGGAAAAAAATATAATGAATGGAATATCTATACCAAGATTGTTAATGGAGGTTGGTGGTGGTAGTGTACTGTTGAGTCGGTTCCAACTCATAGTGACCCTGAATAGGGTTTCCATGGCTGTAAATCTTTATGGGAGAAGAAAGCTTCATCTTTTTCCCATGGAATGGCTGTAGTTTCAAACTGCTGACATTGAGGTTGGCAGCCCAACTCATAACCACTACATTACCAGAGTTCCTTTTAACGGAGGTTAGAAAATGTCTATATGACCAATTTGATGATCTGTTCTTTGTTATTATTGTTTTTGTTAAGTGCTATCAAGTTGGTTCTGACTCATAGCAACCCTGTATAAGGGGTTCCAGGAAGTGGCTGATGAGTTTGAACCACCGACCTTGCTACTCAAACCAACTTTGCAGTTGAGTGTTTATCCTGTAATGCCTTGTTGTTATATGTCGTTGAATTGGTTCTGATTCATAGTGTATAAGGTTTCCTAGGAGCAGCTAGTGGGTTTGAACTACAGACCTTGTCGCTCGAAGCCCAGTGCTGATCTTACAGTGCCACAACAGAAGTGCCTTAGGAATCAATAATTCACAAAACCAATAAAAATTTGACCATAAGGTAATATCTGTGTGTACAGTAAAACATGGAGTTCTGGTGTGGAATGTAGGATAAGCACTCGACCATAAGATATGTTTGATCTGCAAGGTCAGTGGTTCAAACTCACTAGCCACGCTTTGGAAGCCCTATACAGAGTTGCTATGAGTAGGAACCGATTTGACAGCACTTAACAACAATGTAGTAAAACAAGTTAATGTTCTAATTTTTATTTTATTCCTTTTCTTGTTTTACAGATGTATTCCCACTGCACAAAATTTTTCACCTGTGGGATACATTACTACTTGGGAATTCCTCTTTCCCATTCTGTATTGGAGTAGCAATTCTTCAGCAGCTGCGGGACCGGCTTTTGGCCAATGGCTTTAATGAATGCATTCTTCTCTTCTCTGATTTACCAGGTAAATAATTTGAATCAGTAAATGAAATTTGAGTGTAAGTCATGAGACAGCCTTAAAGCAATCTGCACAGGATAATCATTCAACCCTTCCAGAATCTCTTCTGCTTAGACCTTATCATCCCTGTCTGGATTCTTCCCTTTTCATATTGCCTCTACTAACTCTCCAGAATTGTAAATACAGAACTGGACCATACTCCTTTATTGTGGTTTAGTTTGAGACTTCACAGGGATAATTATGCATAGGAAAGATGGCCTGGTAGCAGTCACCTTTTGGTGTTCATTAGCATTGTGTTTAGGGAGGTCTGTATATCTTCAGTTTCTTAAGGCCTCTGAGAAAGTGGTAGAAAATCTGTGGACCACTAACCACCACTCATCTGTCAGTTTGTTGCATGTGGTGGCTTGCTTGTTGCTGAGATGGCAGAAGCTATGACACTGGTAGCTTGAATGCCGGCAGGGTCACCCATGGTGAACAAATTTCAGCTGAGCTTTCAGGCTATGACTCAGAAGAAGGAGAGGTGCACTACTTCCGAATGTTTAGCCACTGAAAACTTCGTGAATAGCAGTGAAACACTGTCAGATAGCACTGGAATATTGAATTTGGAAACATGATAAGTAGCACAAGAATGTTGTCAAATGTAGTGCTGGAAGATGAGCCCCCTCAGGTTGGAAGGCACAAAATTATGACTGGGGAATAATTGCCTCCTCAAAATAGAAATGACCATGATGATCCTAATGGAGTAAAACTTTGGGGACCATCGTTTGCTGATGGGGCACAATTCAAAATGAGGAGAAGCAGATGCAAACATCCATTCATAATCAGAACATAGAATGTACTAATTATGAATTGAGGAAAATTGGAAGTTGTCAAAAAGTAAATGGATTTATAGACATCGATATCCTAGGCATAGTTGTTTGTTGTTATTGGGTGCCATCATGTCACTGCTGATTCATAGTGACCCTATGCACAACAGAACAAAACACTTCCCAGTACTGCCCCAACCTCACAATCAGTGTTACACTTAAGCCCATTACAGCTGCCACTGTGCCAGTCCATTTCATTGGGGATCTTCCTCATTTTCTCCAACCCTTTACCAAGCATGATGTCCTTCTCCAGGGACTGGTCTCTCCAGATAATGTCTGATGAATGAGAGATAAAGTCTGGCCATCTGGTTTCTAAGGAGCACTCTGACAGTACTTCTTCCAACACAGGCTTATTTGATTTTTTGGCAGTCTGTGGTACTTTAAATATTCTCCTGTTACACCATAACTCACATGCATTAATTCTTCTATGGTATTCCTTATTCATTGTCCAACTTTCACATGCATATGAGGTTATTGAAAATACTATGTCTTGGGTCAGGTGCACCTTAGACCTCAGACTTACATCTTTGCTCTTATATACTTTGAAGGAGTTACGTGCAGCAGCAGATTTGCCTAATGCAATACCTCATTTGATTTCTTGACTGCTGCTTCCATGAGTGTTGATGATTGATTCGAGCAAAATGAAGTCTTTGACAACTGGGCTGGTGTTGACCATTTTGAATCTGACAATCACATGGTTTACTATGTCAGAAATAACAAATTAAAGAAGAATGGTATCACATTCATCATCAAAAAGAACATTTCAAGATCAAGAAGTACAATGCTGTGATAGGATAATATCCAGATACCTACAAAGAAGATCATTAATACAACTATTATTCAAATTTATGCAACAACCATTAAAGCCAGTAATGATGAAATTAAAACATTCTACCAACTTCTTCAATCTGGAATTAATCAAACACACAGTCATAATGTATTGATAATTGTTGATGATTGTATACAAAGTTTAGAAACAAAGAAGAATGACCAGTAGTTGGAAAATATAGCCTCGGTGATATAAATGATCCTAGACATCGCAATGATAGAATTTCAAGACCATTGACTTCTTCATTGCAAATCCCTTTTTTTTTTTTTAATATAAAAGATATTCATTTATTTAATCACTGTATCACTGAACCAAAAAATTCTAGAACAGTGCTAGAAAATACCTGGTTGATTATCTCTTTCAACTTTCTTAGTTAATCAGAGAAATTCTGAATTATACAATGGAGTGTGGTGAGTGACTAAATAGGGTGTTCATGAGTCAGGAGTTTGTACCTTTTGGAGTTGAATGCTGAAACAGAAATATGGATGACAACTATTGTCTAAGGCTTGATGTCACAGATAAAAAAATTAAATTATTTGGTTACCTTGGATGGAGAAAAATCTGTGGAAGAATAAAAATCTAGGAAGGTGAGTCAAAAACTATTCACACTTTTGCTGTAGAATTTATTTTAATCAACATTTAGAAAAGACAAATACATCATTTTTCATATAGTCTCCTTGCTTTTCAATACATTTTGTCCATCTATCAATAGGCTTTCATATTTATTTCCTTATTTAAAAATGTTTTAGCCTGATCTGCGAGCTAAAAATATACACATTCGCTTCTTTATTGGAAGTGAATGTTCATCTTCGAAGGGCTGCTTTCAGGGACCCAAACAGGTGAAAGTCTAATGGAGCATGATCAGGACTATGGGGAAGATGCTTTAACACTCAAATTGAAGTTTTTGCAGAGTGTCAACAGTGTGGAAGGAGGTGTGAAGACTTGAATTGTCATACGAGATCATAACTCTATTAGCAGTCGTCTTTGTTTATGCTGAAGTTTATGCTTTAGCTCTTCAGTGAGCATCTCACTGTAAGAAGCAAGGTTGATCGTTGAACTTTTTTCCTGAGAGTGTTCCAATCGTGGCCCTTGAGAATCCCAGAAAGCTGTAAGCATCCATTTTTCCAGCTGATGGTTGACTTTTTAACTTTTTCTTGGTTAGTGATCAATGATGTTTCCATTCCATACTCTGCTGTTTGCTCTCATACTTGTAGTGATGAATCCATGTCTCCTCTCCAGTAACAATGTTTTAAAGAAGCTTTTACCTTCCATCAAGTATTGGTCCAAATTTTGTTTGCAGGTGTCCGTGTTCACACCTGCACAGCAGTGACCTTACACAGAAAACGCTGATTAAACAGTGCAGCCAACAGAAGTTTTAGTATAACCAGAGTGTGAATCATTTTTGGTTCACCCTCATATATAGTTTTTCAGAAACTTAAATGTTTTTAAGTATAAAAGTTGTATTTTATTCACATTATTTCTTATTTCATTGGCTTTATCCCTTCAGCTGATTCTCTGGCTGTTCCTTATATTTTCAGTCATATACAAGTGACATTTAAAATGACCTGTTTGCCTTTATAGCAAAGAACAAAAGCAAAGTACCTTGGGATCATTTACTTAGTACTCTCAGGCAGAGCAAGAGACCTGCTGCCTAACCTGACTTTTGTTTTTAGTGCATCCACCAACTCTGTAAGGAACTCTGGTAGAGTGTTGTTTACTAGTTGGGCTACTAACCTCAGGGTCAGCAGTTTGAAACTACTAGTTGTTCCACAGGAAAAAGATGAGGCTTTTTTCTGTAAAGATTTACAGCCCCAGAAACCTTATACAGGGTTGCTATGAGTCAGAACCAACTCAACAGCATATAACCACCCCTACCAACAACTCTCTGTTGTTGAAAATCCTTTTTGGTAGAATAATAACAAAAATGACTTGGGTTTACTTAAAATTTCTCATCCTTCTTCCCCCATACGGTGCCTTGATTTTCCTTGATATGGATTTTCTGTTTAGAGTCTTCTTAATTCCTACCAAGTGATTGGATGGGACCATGCAAATTGAGTGGGAGTCCTGATATGTTGCTGTGGGTTAATGCGCTGGACTGCAAGGTCAGTTTGAACCATAAGATTGGCAGTTGAAGCTCACCAGTTGCTCTTTGGAAACCCTATACACAGTCACTATGAATTGGAACTGACTTGATAACACTTAACAACAACAGCAAGACTGGGATTGGTTAGTTTTGCCCTCCAGCTAGGCTTAAAAGGAGCCGTGTCAGAAGCAGAGAGGGAAGATCCCAGGGCCATCAGAAGGAAGAGCACGAGTGATATGAGAGATCCCTACCTAGAGAAATAGCGACTGCAGAGCCTATGGCAAAAGGCAGTGGCAACAAGCAATGGCAGAGATGACAGCAGAGGCTGTGGCATGGAGAGACAGAGCAGCTCCCTAGGCTTCTGAACCGAATAAAGCTGAGTGCCTTCCGCAGGAGACTCTCTTAAAGAATGTGCTCTTTGCGCATTCACAAACTGGCTAAAGGAACTTTGTAACATGTGCTTAAGCAGGGCAGAGGTCAAGGGACCACATGGCTGAGAGGCTGAAAACAAGAGTGAGGTATGCCTGCAGTATGGCAGACAAGAGGCGTTCCCTATTGGAGAACTGTTGCATCCTGAATTGGTTTTGATCCTGAATTATATCCTTTTCACTTTCCCAATAAACCTGATATTGTGAGTATTGTTAAGAGTTCTGTGTGGCCATTGCAGTGGACTGTGAAACCCACATGTGAAGCAGAGAGTGCTGTGGGAGGGATGGTTGGTGTCCAGTAGGGTAAAGGAAGTTGCAGGGTGGATGTCTGAACTCTGCTTCCTAGGAATCTGCCTTGGACTGATCTTGAGTTTGATTCTCTCTCCCCCATGTGAAGCTAGTGGAAGTCAGACATGGTCCCCACTTGGGTTTTTTACTCCATCACCCAAAATTAAAAATATCGTCATCAGCTTTCTAATTTATCAAACTGATAATTGAAATAAATCATTTTTATATAAACAAAATTGTACTTCATTTCTTTTATTATCTTTCTCTGGGAGGTTCTTTATGAAAGTTAAGGTACTCCCACACCACCTTTTTTTTTTTTTTTTTAGTGGAAATATTTTATTAAGCTTTTACAAGAAAGGTCTTATCCAATATTTGTCAGTTTGTGACTGACTAATTTCACTCAGCATAATGTCCTCAAGGTTCCTACATGTTTTGAGGTGTTTTGTAGCTTCCACGTTATCATAGGATTCCGTGGTGTAGCTTCCACAAGGTCTCATAGGATTCCATTGTGC